GTGTGGTGGAGCTCGCTGTGCGTGCGCGTGGTGTAAAGTGTGGTGAGACCACCGTGGTGCTGCTGTGTCGGTTGCGGTGTCGGCACGGCGAGTGAAGCTGTGAGCGTGCGCCGCGTGACCGCACCGCGTGGGCCGTGTTGCAGGGTTCTTTGAGATGAAGATGCGTTACGACGAGAGTGACAACGCTATGATCCGCGCGTCACGCACCCTCACCGACAAAGTCTCCCAGCTCGTCGGTGAGTAATCTCTTTCTCTCCCTCTCGGCCTCGGAGGGGTTTGAAGTCCGATTCCGCCCGCATTATTAAAGAGCAGGGGGTGAAGCGTCTGCCGTGTCCGTGCTCTGCTGGCAGGGGGACTTTTCTCCAAGACGGAGATGTCCGAGGTGCTCACAGAGATCCTCAAGGTGGACCCCACCTTCGACAAGGAGCGGTTCCTCATGCAGTGCGAGAAGGACATCATCCCCAACGTGCTGGAGGTGTGCTCACTCGCTCGCCCAAATTCTTACTCCGCTCACCCAGCACCTCGTTCACTCGCCCAGTACCTTGTTTGCTTACGCAGAAGAACTTTGCTCGCTCGCCTGGAATTTCCCTCACCAAAAACCTCAGTCGCTCACCTAGAACCCCACTTATCCAGAACCTCCCTCGCTCATCCATATCCTCACTCTTCCACCCAGGACCTCGCTCGCTCACCTGCATGTCTCCGTGTCTCTGCCCAGGCGATGTTGCGGGGACAGTTGGACGTGCTGCAGGACTGGTGCTACCAGGCGGTGAGTCTGCCCTGCTCTCCCTGTCATTCTCCAATACCCAGGCCCCCTCTGAGCACAGCGCAGCGTAACACCCAAACTCATCCGCCCGAGTCTCTCTCACGTATGGCTGGAGGAGGAATCATCATCACCAGCCAGTGTCTATCCACTGCTGGATAAAGGCCTCCCCACACCCATCGCCATCTCTCAATCCAGTTTTGCTACAAATCTGTCTCACATAGACATGAACTTATTTAATCAATCCAACTCTGTGGTGGATAGCAACCTTGTAAGTCTATGTACAGATGAGTTTAGCTAGCAAATGGCTTCAGTTGATGTGGGGTGGATTTCTGCTTCAAAGCCTCCCATTGAATGTTGAGTTCTACTCTGTGGTCCTCACATAGTGATGCATAAACTCACACGGAGGCTCATAGAGTCACACAGAGACCTGCAGACTCGCACAGAGACTCGGTCTTAGAGCAGGGCTTCCAAAACTCCAGTCCTTTAGACTTGTTCTACATGTCTCACGTGACGTGTAAAGCAATCAACGGCGTCTGCGGCAAGGGAGACCCAATTCAAATTAACATTGAGGTCATGATAAAGGTTTTTGGGATAGATCTCGTTATTATAAATGTGTCGCAACCCTCCACCACCCGACACGGCCAGTCAGTAAAAAATGTGTCACGTTAACAAAACGCCGATTAGTAACTTCTTCAGCCCACCGGTGCGTTTGAAGAGTGAATCCACAACATTTAGAATTTGAGTACTGGTCGCGAAAGCCGACGTGTAAAACTGTTTGGAATGTTGGCGTTTGCCAAAATCTCTTGCCATTTCGGGCGGTAGTGCGGTGGCGACACTCGTGTCTCGCAAGCAAGAAACCTCGGTTCAACTCCCGACTCAGGCATCTGCGTGGAGTTTGAATGTTCTCTCTATGTTGTTCTGCATGACTTCCGTCGATAAAACAAACAAAAGAGCATCTAATGTAACTTGTAGTGGCCAAACATTGCAATGCTGAAATGAGCAACTTGGGATTTCATGGGGGGGGGGGGGGGGTGGATCGTTTTTTTGTGCGCGTGTTTGGTATCTCACAGACGTACAGTCAGCTCGCTCACCCCATCAAGCAGGCCAAGGCCATGGGCTGCTCCTTCCACTCGCGCATCCTCGACATCGACAACATTGACGTGAGTTCCCCTCCTCCTCCCTGTCGTCGTTGTCACCGCGTCTCGGAACCGCGTGCTTTGTCCTGTATGCTAGTGCCTGAATGCCACGAGCCGTGTGCTACGAGCCGTGTGCTACGGGCTGTATGCTGAGCTATAACCTTTGTGCTGTCCTATGAACCTGTGTTTTTGCTATGCTGTGGTCTGTTTTCTGTGTCCTGCGACTCACTGGTCAACTCCTGCTCTGCTGCGTGCATCCATTGTGTCCGGGTGTCACCACGTGTCTCTGTGTTTCACCGCGTCTCTCGGCATCTCCACGCGTGTTACCGTGCATCTCCACGCGTGTTACCGTGCATCTCCACGCGTGTTACCGTGCATCTCCACGCGTGTTACCGTGCATCTCCACGCGTGTTACCGTGCATCTCCACGCGTGTTACCGTGCATCTCCACGCGTGTTACCGTGCATCTCCACGCGTGTTACCGTGCATCTCCACGCGTATGACCGTGCGACGCTGTGTGTATCCGCGCGTACGCGCAGCTGGCGATGGGGAAGCTGATGGAGCAGGGCCCCGTGCTCATCATCACCTTCCAGGCTCAGCTCGTGCTGGTGCTACGAGACTCCAAGGGGCAGACGGTGGAGGGCGACCCCGTGCGTACCCACAACCTCTCACCCCCCCCCGCAGGGAGTTAAAGGAGCGCGCGTGCGGTTTAAAGTCCGCGCGGTTTAACGCCCCCCCCCCCCCTCCTCCCACCCGTGTGTCTGCAGGACAAGGTGGTGCGCATGCTGTACGTGTGGGCTCTGTGCCGTGACCAGGAGGAGCTCAATCCTCTGGCTGCATGGCGCCTCCTGGACATCTCGGCCTCCAGCTCGGAACAGATCCTCTGATCGCTCACCCCGCTCCCGGCCCCGCTCCCGGCTCCACAACGGCGACTCCATCTTGGCTCCGGTTTAGTCAGAGCTCCGATACTGTAGCTCGTAGGGTGTGCCGCCGCCGCCGGTAGTGGTGGTTGGTGGTGGTGGGAGGGGGAGGTTTAGCCGAGCGTGTGCACTGCTATGGGGTGGGGGGGGGGGGGGGGGGCACGGTACGGGTGAAGGTGCAGCCCTGAAATTGCTTACTCGAGCCACTGCTGGCGGAAAGGCCTCCACTACAGGGAGCTCTAAAGAGAGCCCGAACAGGGGATATTCTGCCTACTTCTCCACACTGGCCCGACATCTTGGAAGAGTTGGAAAGTGGACGCGATTCGTAATGATTCCTCCCCTCTCCTCCTCCTCCTCCTCCGTGTAGCGCGGGGGCCCAGGCTGCACTAGCGGGCAGCTTGTGTCACGTTTATTGCGACCTTGCCCGGCCCGATACTGCCAAGATGAGGACGACACCATTTTTTATTGATTGATTTTTTTAATGTAAAAAATAGTGCTATGTTGGAAGAGAATGGTTATTATTATTATCACAGTCATAATGCGCTATACATGAAGCTATTAAAACAGGCGAAACGCGAGCTGGCTGATGATTCTGCTGTGTCGACGCGACACGGACTCTGCGCCGCTCGGATTGGGATTGCTACCTCCACCCACCGCTTTCCTCCTGGGCCCCGTGACGACGGAGCCCGTGTAAACACGCAGCGGCGGTGCCTGCAATTACAGCAACACCCACTCCACTCCATTGTGCTCAACTCCACTCAATGGGTCCATATATTTCTGGCGGCAGCCATCCTCTACTACTGTTGGCGATCACCGTCATGTCCCATCCATCGGCGCATCTTCGTCTCGTGCGTCCTGGGATGTGATGTATTTGATTAGCACGAGCAGGGCCATCCATAGGGGGGTGTGGGGTCCGGGGCAAATCCCACCATGTGGGAGCCCCCCCTGACGCCTTTAAACTAAACCGGAAGTATTACATCTGACACCACCGTGACGTCGGAAGCACGGGGGGGGGGTCCACCAAAACATGTGATGGTGGACACCGATGAGTGATTGGTCAGTGACACGGAGGTTGCTGACGGCTCCTCGTCTAATCCACTCTCGTCTGGTGTAATAATTTCAGTCCTAGCCTGCATTGTCCACTCCAGTCGAGTGTGCTCCAGTCACCTCTCGTATGCTTCCAGTCCAGTGTCATCTACTCCACTGCAGTGATCCAATCCAATGGAGTGTGAGCAAATTAGTACCCCCTCCCCACCTGCATTATCCAATCTCGTCCAATGTGCTTCTCCAGCCCCCTCTCGTGTGCTCCACTCAATTGTGCTTCAGTCCACCTCGCTCCACTTCATTGTGCCGCAACCCAGTCTGCTCCACTGAAGCGTTTGCCAACTCCATGGAGACGGGGCGAAGCGTGATCACGACCGCGACGTCCATCACGGCGACGGACTGTGGGCCTGAACCAGGCCCCCTCCGCGTCGGGAGACGTGGTGAGTGGGAAAGTCGCCCTCCCGTGCCGGCGCGGTTCACCCTACGCTCGCCCGACGCGTCGACGGTTCACCCCACGCTCGCCCCCTACTCCGGCGCTGTTCACCCCACGCTCACCCCACGCTCGCCCCCCGCGTTGCGAATTAGCGTACGCGTCTACCCCCCTTCTCCACTGGCACGACCGAACTGCGCCAGGGCCACAGTTGGGCCCACTGGCGTGGGTCAGGAAGCACCAGGATGTGTTTTCCACTGCAGGAACCAAGCCGTGCCGTGAACATTGCACGCACAAAAAATTATTGGCCTCGCTCGGGGCTCTTCGGCCCCGTTTGGTCCGCAGCCAGATTAAGAACTGGTGAGCAAAGTGGTAAAGCCACCCGGACTGCGAGGGACCCCCCCCCACCACGCTGGCGCGGCTCAGATGTTCCAGTGGAAAAGGGGCGGTCGAGTCCCAATGCTACAAGCGCCGCCCGTTACGTTCTCTTGAAGCCGGTTCCATTCAACCTGCAGCTGCTGTTCCACCGACACCAAGACAAAGATGCCTCGTGTAGCCTTACCATACTTCTGGGGCAAATGCTGTTAGCGAGCAGCACATATGAAGTCCGACACGGCACACGAGGGGGTGGGTGGCCAGCACCACGCCTTTGTCTCCCGAGTGGCGATGTTTACACACCGCACCAGGTACTCATTTGAGGTTGAGTCGACGTAGGGGAGGGCCAGGACCGTTTCAGATAATCGTCACCGGTGTTTATGGCCGCGAGCCGAAATCGAACTCGGGTCGCCGGGTTTGTAGCGCCGCCCTTGAACCACTACACTACCACTCCCTAGACACCAACACCAATATTGGTGTTGGTGCTCACGCGCGCACATACAGGCCCGCGCACTCCAATCGCTATCGCACGCACACATAGCTGTGTGCTCGTTTCACCATTCTGCCAGGAGCTCGCGTGTTCCCCTTTATTTTTGCCGGCGCCTCCCGCCGTTTATCCGGCATGAGGCGCCGGCGCCCGAAGCCCTTGGTCGCGGCGCTGCGTGGCGCCGTCCGGCGTCGACCACCGCCGATGTTCGATGATCGCGCCTCCGGGGCGCCGGCTCCGACGCCTCCGACGGCTCCACAACGTCCCCGGGCCGGGCGGGCGCTCCCCCCGTCCGCTCCCGGCGCTTAGCGTCCGCACAGCAACGCTGCGCGCCCGGCGGAGGAGGAGGAGACCGGCGCGCGGGGTGGGGGAGCGCCGGCGGGAGGAGCTGGCGGGGGAGTGGCGCCCGGCGGCTTCGGGGCCGGCGCCGGCTTGACCGCTGCGGTTCTGCGCGCGCCGAGACGCGGGAACGCGGCGACCTGGGGGGGGCCGGGTTCACGAGCCGCCCCCCTCCCAGACGAGGCTGACCCCCGCGCGCCGCGAGGGAGGGGGGGCCACGCGGAGGGGCGCGGCGGGGAGCGCGACGGGGGACGCGAGCGGTGCCGGCGGAGCGGAGCGCCCGACCGCTCGGGCGGCGCGCACGGCAAACGGCCACCCGGGCGGGGACGGCGCCCGTCTCCCAGGATGCACTGCGTCACTTGACCGGTCTCCTGCAGCTTCCTGAGCAGTTCCTCGAGCGCCAGGCTGGGTGCGCTCGCTCGCTCGGCGTGGCCCTGCTGCCCGGGGTCCCCCGTGGTCGTCGCGTCGGACCCAGCGCTCTTCTGGGGCCAAACGGTGAAAGCGACGGCGGCGGCCGCGGCGGTCGCGGCGGGCGACGGCCGCGGCCGGGGGTCCGCGGCGCCGCCCCCGCCTCCCGTCTTCCTGCGCGTCGCGGGCGGCGTCGACTCGGGGGTGGGCAGCGCCGCCAGCTCGGGGAGGGGGCGGCCGCCGGCGCGGGGGAACGGCGGGGGAAGCCCCCCGCCCACTCGAGCGCCGTCACGTCCACCTTGCCGACGGCCATGAGCGGCACGAGCAGCGCGGCCGACCTGGCCACGGCGTCGACCTTGCCCCGCGCGGCGCCCTCCAGCAGCAGCTCCTCGAGCAGTCGCGAACGGGCGTAGGGCCCCGGCGGCCCCGGGCCCGCGCCCGGGGCCGGCGCCGCGGGCGGCGGCTTGCGCGGCCGCTCGGGCCGCCGGGGCCGGCAGCGGCGGAAGAGGCAGACGGTGGCGACGCAGGAGAGCGCCGCGCCGAGAGTGAAGGCGCCGAGCAGGCAGAGCCATACGATGCCGGCGGGGACGCGGCCCGGGGAGGAGGAGACCCGCGGCTCGCGGATCGCTCCTGTGGCGGCACGCACGGCGCCAGCGGTCACTCGCGATACGCGGGATGCTCGCTATTCACACTTGGCACTCGCTTCACAGTCATTGCACTTGACGTTACTCACACTTGACACTGCGCAATCACGCTTCAGACTTGACACGACTGGTACTTGACACGACTCGCACTTGACATGACTCACGCACTCACTTCACAATCGCTACTCACAGTTGACACTAAACGCAGGACACTCACTACTCGTACACCGTGACGCTCCGTGTGATGCTGTGGAGGAGACACTCACCGCTGGACGTCACAACGGAGTCTGTGGAAGCACGGGGCAATGGAGACGCATCATCATCGTCATCATCGTCAACATCGTCGTGGTCATTATCGTCGTCATCGTCGTCGTCATCGTCACCAAAGTCATCATCATTGCAACCACCATCATCATAGTCGTAACCATCGACGTCATCAGCATCGTCACCATCATAACCAGTGCCACCACAATCTCGCACAACCCATTACAATATACACACTAGGCCACTGCACCAAAGTCAAAACACAGCACACACAAATACAAAGATCCACCGTATAGCCTTACCAGACTTGGGGCAAGTGCTATTAGCGACCACCTATCAAGGCCTGCACAGCACACGTGGAGGGGGGTGGTCGGAACCACGCCCGGCCGCCTTTGTCTCCCTAGTGGCGATGTTTACTACACACCGCAACACGTGCTCATTTGAGTTTCCGAGTCCGGTTCAGATAATCGTCACCTGTGTTGGCCGCGAGCGTGAATCGAACTCGGGCCGCCAGATTCATAGCACAGCTCGCGAATCGCTCCACCGCCGCTCCCCAACCACTACCACGGCAACAACAACCGGTGGCGGTGACATCACCACGGCGCTTGTGCCAGGCTATGTGCACGTTAAGGCCACGTGAAGTGTCGATCTACCACAGCACATGGCACAGACAGAGACACTGGACCCCCCCCCCCCCCTGCAGGGACTGTGGGGGGCTCACCGGCGCAGTCAGGCAGGTTCCCCACGCTCCCCGTGGCGAGGGCTTGCTCCGCCATGGGGCTGGGGGCACAGAGGGGACCCCCCCCCATCCAGTTAGGTACGGCCCCCCACCGACACCGCCACGCAGCAACCACCCCCAAACATCCCCAAACCATCGCGTCTCAGTGGGGCTGCTGCCGCTGCCGTTTGGTGACGGCGCTGCCAGTGCGTGGCGCTTCGTGTTGTGTGGTGTACTTTGTTTGTGTTGTGTGGTGTACTTTGTTTGTATTGTGTGGTGTACTGTGTTTGTGTTGTGTGGTGTACGGTGTTTGTGGTGTACGGTGTTTGTGTTGTGTGGTGTACGGTGTTTGTGTTGTGTGGTGTACTGTGTTTGTGTTGTGTGGTGTACGGTGTTCGTGTGGTGTACGATGTTGTGTGGTGTGGTGTACTGTGTTGTGTGGTGTACGGTCTGTGTTGTGTGGTGTACAGTGTTTGTGTTGTGTGGTGTACGGTGTTTGTGGTGTACTGTGTTTGTGGTGTACTGTGTCCGTGGTGTACTGTGTGTGTGGTGTACTGTGTTTGTGGTGTACTGTGTTGTGTGGTGTACGGTCTGTGGTGTACGGTGTTTGTGGTGTACTGTGTTTGTGGTGTACTGTGTTGTGTGGTGTACGGTCTGTGGTGTGGTGTACGGTGTTTGTGGTGTACTGTGTTTGTGTTGTGTGGTGTTTGTGGTGTACTGTGTGTGTGGTGTACGGTGTTTGTGGTGTACAGTGTTTGTGGTGTACTGTGTTTGTGTTGTGTGGTGTTTGTGGTGTACTGTGTGTGTGGTGTACGGTCTGTGTTTGTGGTGTACGGTCTGTGTTGTGTGGTGTAAGGTCTGTGTTTGTGGTGTACGGTGTTTGTGGATAACTGTGTTTGTGGTGTACGGTCTGTGTTTGTGGTGTATGGTCTGTGTTGTGTGGTGTACTGTGTTTGTGGTGTACTGTGTTTGTGGTGTACGGTCTGTGTTTGTGGTGTACGGTCTGTGTTGTGTGGTGTACGGTCTGTGTTTGTGGTGTACGGTCTGTGTTTGTGGTGTACGGTCTGTGTTTGTGGTGTACGTGGGTTATTGAGTGTAATGCGGTGCATGTCGTGTGTGTATTGTCCTGGACTACATAGCGACGGACCAGCGGATGCGAGCCCATGTCCTTGACACCAGGACCTACCGTGGAGCTGATCTGCCCTCTGACCATCGACCAGTCATCTGTAAGATGCGCCTGCCATTTTTCACTCCGGTGGTGGGTGTACACCAGGACCCCATTCCAACCTAAAGTGGCCTGGTCTCAGTTATCTGATGAAAGTTGCAAGCGAGAATTTCATCATCGCTTGTGGCTGGGATTGGCATCGTCCCCGACTCCTCCTGATGTCGAGGGTAAATGGGCGAGGTTTAGGACTGTGACTCATGCAGCTGCAATGGCTGCTTTGGGTACGTGGTCCAGACCTCCCCAGAGACCCTGGCTGACAGAGGAGGTGTTCAGGATGGTTGAGAAAAAGCGACAGGCCCACTGTCACCGGCTACAGAATCCCACGTCAGAGAATGAGGAGGCTTACCGCAGCCTTCGCTCGGAGGTTCGGAGAGCCGTGAGGCGCTGCAAGGATGGGTGGTGGTCGCGGGTTGCTGAGGAGATGGAGTCTGCCTCAGTGGCCCGTGATCACAAATCTCTATTTAACTCCATCAAAAAAGTAATCTGCAGCGCCACACCTATTACCATCATTAGGGGAAAAAAACGGTGACCCAATCTCTGACCCCCAGGAACAGGTTTGCAGATTTGCTGAGCATTTCTGTGAGGTCCTGGGGGAGGGAAAATCCCTGAACCAGGAAAACATCATGGCACAAAGTGAGGATGACCCTGCTGAGGCTGCGGTGCCTCAAATATTGGAAGAAGTCACCCCCTGCGAGTGGCTGGCTGAGGTGCCATCTATTGAGGAAGTACTGAAGGCGATCCGGAGTCTGAGACCAGGAAAGGCAGCGGGCAGAGATGATCTCCCAAGCGAAATGCTGAGGGAGGGCGGCGTTTGTGCACAGACTGCCCGATATGACATCATAACAACAGTCTGGACCACTGGACGAGTTCCGCAGGATTGAAAGGATGCCCTGGTGGTCCACCTTTTTAAGGGGGACCGCACAGACTGTAACAACTACAGGAGCATCGCACTCCTCAGTGTACAGGAGCATCGCACTCCTCAGTGTGCCGGAAAGGTCCCGCCTTGCCAGGCACGCTGAGGAGAGGCGTGCGGAGCCCCAATGCGCTTTCAGGATAGAGCGGTCCTGCACAGATGCCATATTTTCTGTCCGTCTGTTACAGCAGAGGTGTAGGGAATTCCAACAAGACCAACATCTCTGCTTTATTGACCTGGTCAAGGCCTATGATACCATCAGTAGGCCTGGGCTCTGGGTTGTTCTTCGTGCTTTTGGAGTACCTGACCCTCTGCTCACAATCATTACGGACCTTCATGATGGTGAGCGGGCCCGGGTAAAACTTCGTGGCCGGGAGTCAGAGCCATTCCCTGTTAACCTTGGGGTGCGTCAGGGATGTCCTCTGGCTCCCACATTATTTAACATCTATTTTGACCACGTAGTTCGTGAAGCCTTCAATAGCTGTACCGGGGGAATCTCCATATGGTACAGATATAATGGGAGGCTGATCGATGCCCGGGTGCGGTCAAGGGATGGCTCCCTATTGCTCAACCACGTTATGTATGCTGATGATTTGGTAATAGCTGCTCATTCAGAGGAGGAGTTGGAGACGCTGCTGCTGAGACTGGAGCGTGCCACTAAGAGGTGGGGCCTTACCATCAGCCCCACCAAAACTAAGCACCTGCCTGGGTATTTTGTACCATCAGACACTCCACCCCCACAACTCCCCATCGGTGATGGGGCAGTTGTGGAGAGAGTGGAGAGTTTCCCATACCTGAGCAGTGTGCTTATGACTGGCTCCAGTTTAACAGCAGAGGTTTCACTCCGAATCAGTCGAGCGGCAATATCTTTTCATCGGTTGCGTAACGCTGTGTGGAAGCTACCTGCTCTGTCGCTCCGCACTAAGCTTCAGGTCTTCTCGGCCACGGTCATTCCCTCCCTTCTCTACGCTTGCGAAACGTGGACCCCCCTAATGGAACATCTTCGCTGGTTGGAAACATTTAGGCTGGCCTGCCTACGATCCATCCTGGGTTTAACCAGACTGGATTGTGTGAGGAGCTCACAAATCTTTGAAAGATCTGGGCAAGGTCCCATCGGTGAGCTCCTCCGGCGGGGAAGGCTACGATGGCTGGGTCATGTAGCCTGCATGCCCAGCCACCGCATGCCAAAACAGCTTTTGTTCGGCCGGATTGAGGGGGCTAAGCGGGCGCGGCACGGGCTAGAGAAGAGATGGAGTGATGTGGTACAGGAGGACGTGGAGCTGAGTGAACTTGCCGATGACTGGTACCAGCGGTGTCAAGATCGGCCTCTGTGGAGGAGGCTCGTGAAGGACGCTACTGGGCAGTTGGAGGTAGTCGCCCTCCAACAACAACGGAGGGCGGAGGAGCAACGCTCAGAACAATGAGCGGAGCGCCGGGTGGCTAAAGCACAGCAGGTTGGCACAGTAGGGGGCACAGGTGGTGCATCAGCCAGTCATCTCAGTCAGTCGACCCGTGGCACCTGGGTCTGCCCCGTGACCTGCCAGCGGCCGTTCGACACTTCACGTGGCCTCAGGGTGCACATAGCCTGGCACAAGTGTCGTGGTGACGTCACCGCCACTTAGTGGCGAATTGCGGTTGTTGTTGGTGCGGTGGGTGCGTGCGGTGTGTGGTGTGTGCGGTGTGTGGTGCAGTGGGTAGTGTGTTGCATGTGGTATGGTGCGGTGCCATCGGTGCGTGTGGTGCGGTGTGTGCGGTGCGTGCGGTACGCGAGCGTCCGCACCTGCCGTGGGACGATGGCGTGACCCGGCTGCAGGTCCCCCCCGACCAGGCGCAGTACGGGTCCCGGGACGCCAGGCAAGCCCTGGGGCCCACGCGAGACGGAGCAGGTCAATACCAGCGTATCTCCTGCACCTTTGCAGTCAGTCCACTACTACTCATCATAATCGATTTTTTGACCAGGCCCATTAACCACCTGGGCCAAAATTGCGTCGGTACCACCCTCCGCTCGAGCCCTGCATGCGGTCTGGGTACCCGCGAGGAACCCACGGGGTACACATGACACATACGGTTTACCCGTATTCTTGCACAGGGACATTGAGTTTTAAAAAAAAACATTGTCTTTGTGTTTTTACCGTGTGATAGCACTTTGTAGGATGAACGTTGAGATTTGTAAGGGCACGGGGTGACCAATAAGATCTGAATTGGTGTGTAATAATGTAGGGCACTGATAAGGGGTCGACAGTTGTGCGAACGTGACCCGACTCCCGTCCATCATAGTGAGGCCATGGCCCTGAGACCGACCACCTGGCACAGCGCGGGGCAGCGAGCTGGCGGGGCAGCGGTGAGCGCCGACGTTCGTCCAATGCTGGCGCACGCGGGCAACGTTTATTGTGCCTGGTCAGGTGGTGGCAGGCTCTTGACGACACGAGTTTGGCCACATCGTTCCCAAAGATCAATCTGGGCCGGATTTGTTGTAGGTTTTTTTGCGACAAGAGGGGCCCGGTCATGGGGGGTGGGCAGCGTGGGGGTGGGGGGAGTTTGTGGGGGGTGGAGCAAGGGGGTGGGGGGAGTGTGAGAGGAGTGGGTTCACGACGAATTCGTGAGAAGGTGAGCGTGCGCTAGGCGTGTGGTGCGGCGTGCCCTAGCTTGTGCCGCACTTCTTGCAGTCTGCGTGCCGCGCGCAGTGGCTGAGCGGGAGGCGTAGCACGCAGGAGGAGAAAGCGAGGAACACGGCGTGGCGCTCCGTGTCCACGAGCAGCGCCCGCACCGCGCGCGGGGACCGCTCGCCACAGCTGTGGGCGGGGGACACGTGATGGCACACACAGCGAGGACACACGGGTGTGGGGCACGGGGGGCACACACGACGTGGGACACATGGGATGACATGGGAGGGGAACATGGGGCGGGGGGCGGTGGATGGGGGGACACGTGGGGAACACGCGGAGGTGGGGGGGGGGATCATGGGAGGGCATACGTGGGGAGAGACGTGGGGAGAGATACTGGGAGGGCATAGAGTGGGACATGGGGACACGAGTTCAATTCCCGCTCAGGGCCAGCTTCAGCGACGAGCGTGTGGACGTGCGGTGCGCCTCCCCCCATGTGTGCACGTACTCGCGGGCGCTGTAGGGCTCGGCCTCCTCGAGCAGCACGGCGCCACCGCCGCCCGGCGGCAGCAGCAGCAGCAGCTTGAGCAGCACGCCGCTCTGCGCCGCGAGCAGCACCACCGTCTCGTTGCCGTGGCGCCCCGCCGTCACGTCCACCGCGATGTGGGTCAGCCGGTAGCTGGGGTCACGCCCGGGGGTCACGCAGAGGTCGCGCGTTAAGATGGATTATTCTGGATCCGGCGTTTTGAGTCCTACGGGGGTCCGAAAGCTGGCGCTCGCTCTATGTGCGGCTGCATGTGTGTGCGTGCATGCACATCTGTGTGTGCGTGCATGATCTCGCAGGTGGGGGGTGGTTAGGGCAGCGGTTTGCGCGCTGCGCTATAAACCTAGCGACTCGAGTTCGATTCGTAATCACAGTCAACACCAGTGACGTTTATCTGAACCGGTTCTTGGCGTCCCCTAAGTCGACTCAGCCTGGTGCAGTATAAACATCGGCACTGGGGAGACAAAGGCGGCCGGACGTGGTGCTGGCCACCCACCCACTCGTGTGCCCCAGTGCTGGCTTTCGTAGGTCCATTTCCCCAAAAGCCTGTTGAGGCTATACGGGGGATCTTTGTACTTTTCCACAGGTGGTGCATCTGCCAGTCAAGTCTGGCGGTTAACCCATCACACCTGGGGCTGTCCGGCCAGCGAGCCTTCCGCAATTCACGTGCCGGCCTCAGGGTGCACCTAGCCTGGCACGAGCGCTGCGGCGGTGACGTTGTTGCTGTTCTCACCGGGTGCCAGAGCGCACGAACCAGGGCTGCGGGGAGACGGCGGCGACGGCGCGGTGAGCCAGCGGGTGCGTCTTGGCGAAGCTCAGCGCCTCGTCCGGCAGCAGCGGCGAGCGGGGGAACGCAGCCGCCTCCCCCTCTCCCGCACACGCACCGGGCCTGGCGCGAGACGCAGGGGCGAGACGCAGGGGATGAGACGCAGGGGATGAGACGCAGGGGATGAGACGCAGGGGATGAGACGCAGGGGATGAGACGCAGGGGATGAGACGCAGGGGATGAGACGCAGGGCGACACACAGGGTGACGAAAAGACAAAGATCCCCCGTGTAGCCTTCAACAGATTGTTGGGGCAAGTGATGTTAGCAAGTAGCACCTATGTAGACCGGCACGGCACACGAGGGGGTGGTTTGGCCAGCACCACGCCCGGCCGCATTTGTCGATGTTAACACATCACACCAGGTACTCATTTGAGGCTGAGTCGACCTAGGGTAGGCCCAGGACCGGATCAGATAATAGTCGCTCGTGTTAGCCGTGAGCGGGAATCGAACTCGGGTCGCCGGGTTTGTAGCGCAGCTAGCTGACCGCTACACTACAACTCCCCACACACAGGGTGACACACGGTGATTACAGAGTTACACACAGGGTGATACACGGGGTGATACACGGGGTAAGATAATGACACACGGGGTAACAAGGGCTGAGACACGGGAATTAAGAGAACACATTCTCCTGCGGAGGGAGCTGGTAGGAACGTTGGGTTGCTCGGTCAATGGCCAGGGTCAACGGCGGCACCACGTGGTGTATTCCGCAAATATGCCCGACTGTGAGGGCGGGCACAAGCCGGCGTGAGTAGGTTAAACGTTGAGTTTTATAAGGGGACCACGGGGTGACCAGCCCCTCCCCACCCAGCCCCACCCCTCCCACCCCCCACCCAGCCCCACCCTCCCCTCTCCACCCAGCCCCACTCCCATTTTTGGATGCACGACGGACGGACGGACACAATAATCCCCTGTGGGCTGGTGTAACCAGGAGGTTCCTACCAGTATAAGCGCGATTAGACATGTTAGACAGAGAGACATGTTAGACAGAGAAACAGGACACAGGGACACACAAGGGATCACAGCCACATGGCATGATGTCAGGGGCATGGGAATGATGGGAGTGGTGTGATGGCACTGGTGTGATGACACGGTGTGATGGCATGGTGTGATGGGAGTGGTGTGATGGCATGGCGTGATGGCACGGCATGATGGCACGGCGTGATGGCACGGTGTGATGGGAGTGGTATGATGAGAGTGGTGTGATGGCATGGCGTGATGGCACGGTGTGATGGCACGGTGTGATGGGAGTGGTGTAATCGCATGGCGTGATGGCACGGCGTGATGGCACGGTGTGATGGAAGTGGTATGATGAGAGAGAGTGGTGTGATGACACGGCGTGATGGCACGGTGTGATGGCACGGTGTGATGGAAGTGGTATGATGAGAGTGGTGTGATGGCATGACGTGATGGAAGTGGTATGATGAGAGTGGTGTGATGGCGTGGTGTGATGGCATGGTGTGATGGCACGGCGTGATGGTACGGTATGATGCCTCGGTGTGATGGCGGGGGTTGTGTTGTGATCCACCTGGGTGTGGGCGTGCGGGCCTCCGGCACGGCGAGCCAGGGGCCGTCGGGCCCTCGCTGCTCTGAGTAGCGCCCCTGGAAGGCGCTGGCCACGTCCTCCATGTCGAACGCACATACGGCCGAGCCGTGGATACTGCGCACACGCGTGCACGCATATAAAGACAAAGCTACTCCGTGTAGCCTCTTGGAGACTGCTGGGGCAAGTGCTGTTAGCGAGGAGCACCTACGTAGGTCGGCACGGCACACGAGGTGGTGGGTGGCCAGAACCACGGCCGGCCACTTTTGTCTCCCTTAGTGGGGATGTTTACGCACCGCAACAGGCACGCATTTGAGGCTGAGTCGACCTAGGGGAGGCCCAGGACCGGTTCAGATAATCGTCACTGGTGTTGGCCGTGAGCAGGAATCCAACTCGGGTCACCGGGTTCACAGCGCAGCGCGCTAACCACGACACTACCGCTCCCCACACTCAATCACTCAAACACACGCACACAATCTCGCATTCACAAGCTGCAGAACAGGGGGAGAACACGCCGGCTCCAAATATACCACGGCCATCGTCAGGGTCTGGGCTCGAACCTACGCACTCCTTCGCAGCAGGCGAATGTGGTAACGTCTCCTCGACAGCAGGCGAGGGTGGTAACGACAGCGAGGCGCCCAGCGCAGTGCTGCCTGGGTGACGGCCGGGGTGGAGGGGGTGGGGTCGGGGTGGAGGGGGTGGAGGCACCTGTTGAGGGGGGTGGTGAAGACCCCGAGCACGAGCTCGCGACCCCCGATGCGGAGCACCTCGGAGACTCCCTGGAGCTCGTTGAAGTAGAAGGGGGCGTCCCCGGGCGCCTCGCCCCCCACCGAGCAGTTGAGTCGCGCCTTCACGAAGGAGCTCCAGTGGCCGTCCAGCACGCGCTGAGAGCCCCCCGCATCGCTCTTGCAGACGCGCGCCACGCGCGAGAACAGCACCTGGGGGGGCAGCGGCGAGCGGCGCACCACGCACACCACGCATGTGTAGCACACGCACCACGCACACCACGCATGTGTAGCACACGCACCACGCACACCACGCATGTGTAGCACACGCACCACGCACACCACGCATGTGTGGCACACGCACCACGCACCTGTGTCAGCACGCCTACACCAGTGAAGGAACCCGTGAGTGAAGGCCCGTGTGTGTCGGTGTGTGTGTGTGAGTGAAGGCCGCGTCACCTTGCCCATGGAGCTGAGCTCAACGGCGATCTCTGTGAAGAAGAAGTAGACATGCTGCCCGTGCTCCAGCACTCTCACGAACACGGGCTCTGTGCACCGCACGGCACACGCGTGACGCACGACACAAGACACGCGTGACGCACGACACAAGACACGCGTGACGCACGACACAAGACACGCGTGACACACGACACAAGACACGCGTGACGCACGACACAAGACACGTGACGCACTACACAAGACACGCGTGACGCACGACACAAGACACGCGTGACACACGACACAAGACACGCGTGACGCACGACACAAGACACGCGTGATGCACGACACAAGACACGCGTGACGCACGACACAAGACACGCGTGACGCACGACACAAGACACGCGTGACGCACGACACAAGACACGCGTGACACACGACACAAGACACGTGACGCACGACACAAGACACGCGTGACGCACGCACACGTGACGCGTGACGCACGACACAAGACACGCGTGACGCACGACACAAGACACGCGTGACGCACGACACAAGACACGCGTGACACACGACACAAGACACGCGTGACGCACGACACAAGACACGTGACGCACGACACAAGACACGCGTGACGCACGACACAAGACACGCGTGACGCACTACACAAGACACGCGTGACGCACGACACAAGACACGCGTGACGCACGACACAAGACACGCGTGACACACGACACAAGACACGCGTGACGCACGACACAAGACACGCGTGACGCACGACACAAGACACGCGTGACGCACGACACAAGACACGCGTGACGCACGACACAAGACACGCGTGACGCACGACACAAGACACGCGTGACACACGACACAAGACACGTGACGCACGACACAAGACACGCGTGACGCACGTACACGTGACGCGTGACGCACGACACAAGACACGCGTGACACAAGACACGTGACGCACGACACAAGACACGCGTGACGCACGCACACGTGACGCGCAACACAACCTGACGCACACGACACGACACGCGTGACGCGCGCACACCTGCCTTGACACAGTACTCGTGACATGACACGGACTGACACGTGACACTCGGTGAGGGGGGGATCGGTGAAGGGGGGGTCGGTGAAGGGGGGGGGGGTCGATGAGGGGGGGTCGGTGAGGGGGAGGGGGTCAGTGAGGGGGGGGGTCAGTACCCTTGAGCCACTTGGAGTCGAGTTTGAGAGAGCGCAGAGGGGGCCCGGGCCCCAGGCTCCCATAGACCACCGCGTCGACCCCCAGGGGGTCCACGGCCGTGGCCGAGTAGAGACGCTCGCCTGCACGCACAGATAAAGGTCCCCCGGCTAGCGCGCGCGGCCTGTTGGGGGCAAGTGCCCGTCGGCAAGCGGCACTTACGATGTGGCAAAACACCACGCCCGGCCGCCTTTGTTTCCCCAGCGCTGATTTTGATTGCGCGCCGTACCAAGCGCTAATTTGAGGCCGAGTCGACCTAGGGGAGGCCCGGGACCGGTTCGGATAATCGCCACCGGTGTTGGTGGCCGTGAGCGGGAATGGCACTCGGGTGGCCGGGCTCATCGCGCAGTGCTCTCACCACTTGGCCACCGCTCCCCCACGCACGTCCGCACGTACACACACGGACACGCGTGTCGCTGGCGTGTCGCAGGCGTGTCGCTGCGACCCCACGGACCTGCGAAGGTGGCCGCCCCTCCCTGCCGGGGGTCGAAGGGACACTTGGCGATGCCACTCGTCTGCTCCCCAGTGAAGGACAGGTCCGCCAGCTGTCCACACACACACACGCACACACACACGTGCACACACACACACGCACACACACGTGCACACACGCACACACACACGTGAACACACACACGCACACGCATACGCACACGCGCACACGCACACACGCACACACGCGCACACACACGTGCGCACACACACGTGTACACACACACGTGCACACATGCAGGGGCACTAGGAATAGACACTGCGTGACACTGCTTCTGTGTGTGTGTGAGACACTGCTGTGTGTATGTGAGACACTGCTGTGTGTGTGTGTGTGAGACTGCTGTGTGTGTGTGAGACACTGCTGTGTGTGTGAGACACTGCTGTGTGTGTGTGAGACACTGCTGTGTATGTGAGACACTGCTGTGTATGTGAGACACTGCTGTGTATGTGTGAGACACTGCTGTATGTGTGAGACACTGCTGTGTGTGTGTGAGACACTGCTGTGTATGTGAGACACTGCTGTGTATGTGAGACACTGCTGTGTATGTGTGAGACACTGCTGTATGTGTGAGACACTGCTGTGTGTGTGTGAGACACTGCTGTGTGTGTGAGACACTGCTGTGTGTGTGTGAGACATTGCTGTGTGTGTGAGACACTGCTGTGTATGTGAGACACTGCTGTGTATGTGTGAGACACTGCTGTATGTGTGAGACACTGCTGTGTGTGTGTGAGACACTGCTGTGTGTGTGTGAGACTGCTGTGTGTGTGTGAGACACTGCTGTGTGTGTGTGAGACACTGCTGTGTGTGTATGTGTGTGAGACACTGCTGTGTATGTGTGAGACACTGCTATGTGTGTGTGAGACACTGCTGTGTGTGTGTGTGTGAGACACTGCTGTATGTGTGTGAGACACTGCTGTGTGTATGTGACACTGGTGGTGTCTCCCCAGTGACGATGTTTACACACCAGGTGCGGTGTGTAAACATCGTCACTGGGGAGACAAATGCGGCCGGGCATGGTGTTGGCCATCCACCTCCTCGTGTGCCGTGCCGGCCTTCATAGGTGCTCGCTAACAGCACTTGCCTCTACAGTCTGTTCAGGCTATACTGGGGGATCTTTGTTTTGTTGTATGTATAGCACTGCTGTGTGTGTCTGACACTCCGTGTGTGTGTGACGCTGCTGTGTGTGTGACACTGCTGTGTAACACTGCTGTGTGTGTGACACTCCGTGTGTGACACTGCTGTGTGTGTGTGTGTCACTGCTGTGTGACATTGGCAGTAGTACCTGGTAGTTCCTGCACATGGGGCTGTATGCGTTGGTGCCGCACACAAAGAGGAGTCCGTCTCCGCGTGGCGCAACCACCTTGATGAAGTTGTGACACTCCTCCTGCAGCGAAGACAAACATCCCCCGTATCGCCTCGACAGACTTTTGGGGGCAAGGGCTGTTTAGCCAGCACCTATAAAAGCCGGCAAGGCACACGAAGGGGCGGGTGGCCAGCACCATGCCCGGCCACCTTTGTTTTTTTACACACCACACTAGGCACTCGTTTAAGGCTGAGCCAACCTTGGGGAGGTCCAGCACAGGTTCAGATAATCGTCACCGGTGAGGGTGGCCGTGAGCGGGAATAGAACTCGGGCCTCTGCCGGGTTCGTCTCGCAGCGCACCGACCACGGCTCCCCCCACACGCGGCGCAGACACCCGGCTCCCCCGAGTAACGCCGGTGTCTCCCGTGTTGCCAACGGCCACGAAGGGCGGTGGCCCAGGGGTGGCCCAGCGACTGCCCCATCGTTCACCGCGCGTTAGCAGACGTTCGCGGTTCGAGCCCGGCGGCCGCCCCGGTCAATACTGCGGCTGATATTCACGTGGCCGTCTGCTCTGCAGACGGCCGTGACGTCATTCGCACGAGTAGGCCAACGTGCGCCGGATTCGTGGTCCAAATTTTCTGTCGCCAAAATGCCAATAAGTTAACACCGCGCGAATTACTCAACTGGCATGCACGCACAGCAACAACATTGCACCCCCCCCTTCCCCCCGCACTGCTAACAGACTAATACACAGCTACTGCTGCTACTGGGGGTGCCCCTAGGCTAGATCACACAGCAACCATCGCCCCCTACTGTGAACGCACCTCAGGCTGTATCTGTGAAGCACGGCAGCCACTTCCTTCCCGAGGATCGCGCTGCGCTATGAGGAAGAGGGAGCTCATACGGACTATTTGTTTTTTTTATTAAAAAAATTATTTGACCAGGTAAGGCCCCACTGAGTTACGTAGCTCTTTTTTCAAGAAGCGACCAAGGCTATCACAAATGACAGCTCAACGAAGTGGCTTGCTACGTGGACATTTATAGCGGCGAAATGCTCTCTTAACGCATTATGTTGACTCTAAATGTGGAGGGGAAAAACCGGAGGACCCAGAGAAAAATCCACGCGACCACGGAGAGAGAGACACGCAGACTCCCGATTATACCAGCAGGCGTCGGGGTCGGGATCGAACCCACGACCTCCTGTACACCAGGCAAGGTAGTTAACATCTCCTAGCCACCGTGATGGTGATGAGAGAGAGAGAGTGAGACACGCAAACTCCAAATATACAGCAGGCGTCAGGGTCGGGATGGAACCCACGACCTCCTGTGTACCAGGCGAGGTCGTTAACATCTCCTAGCCACCGTGACGATCAGGGGTCGGCAACCAAAACTCGGTACAAAAAAAAACCTCAATACTCCTCGAGCCGCAATGCCCTGCGTGGTGAATACAAGACGGTGGTCCCTGATGAAGAGCGGGTCACGAAGCGGGTGTTCAAGAGCCGCATGCGGCTCGGAAGCCGCAGGTTGGCAACTCCTGAGCCGTTAGAGAGTGGCCGTCATGGCCGTCTGGCCTCACCTCCGTCTTGCCCTTCATGAGACACCGGTCCACCTCCTGGCGCTCCGCCATCCACGTCAGCTTCTGCGATCAAAATCACTCCTCACCCATCACGCTCCTCACCCATCACACTCCTCACCCATCACGCTCCTCACCCATCACGCTCCTCACTCATCACGCTCCTCACTCAGTACTCATCACACTCCTCACCCATCACGCTCCTCACCCATCACGCTCCTCACTCATCACGCTCCTCACTCAGTACTCATCACACTCCTCACCCATGACGCTCCTCACCCATCACACTCCTCATCCATCACACTCCTCACCCATCACGCTCCTCACTCATCACGCTCCTCACTCAGTACTCATCACACTCCTCACCCATGACGCTCCTCACCCATCACGCTCCTCACCCATCACGCTCCTCACCCATCACGCTCCTCACCCATGACGCTCCTCACCCATCACGCTCCTCACCCATCACGCTCCTCACCCATCACACTCCTCACCCATCACGCTCCTCACCCATCACGCTCCTCACTCATCACGCTCCTCACTCAGTACTCATCACGCTCCTCACCCATCACACTCCTCACCCATCACGCTCCTCACCCATCACACTCCTCACCCATCACGCTCCTCACTCATCACGCTCCTCATCACGCTCCTCACCCATCACACTCCTCACCCATCACGCTCCTCACCCATCACGCTCATCACGCTCCTCACTCATCACGCTCCTCACCCATCACACTCCTCATCCATCACACTCCTCACCCATCACGCTCCTCACCCATCACGCTCCTCACCCATCACGCTCCTCACCGCACTCTCACACCATCACACTATCAACACACCCTCACTGCCTCACTGATCACAAACATTCACTGTGCAGGCTGTTGGGGGCGTGAACAAGTGCCACACGAGACGGTGATGTGGTCATCACCACGCCCGACCGCCTTTGTCTCCCCAGTGCTGATACTTACACACACCAGGCACTGCACTAATTCAAGGCTGAGTAGACCTAGGGGAGGCCCCGGCAGGACCGGTTCAAATATTCGCCACAGTTATTGGTCGTGAGCGGCGAATCGAACTCGGGACGCCGTTTTTGCAGCGCCAGTGCGCTAACCGCTGCGCCACCGCTCTCCATTGCACCACCTCGCTCCTGACGCTCCGACCCCACTGCCCTCACCGCGGCTCACCGTGCTGTGGGTGATGGCGCCGTGCATGGGGCGGCTCAGGTCCACAGTGAACACGCGGTCCCTGTGGGGAGCAGGGACAGCCGCGTGAGTGCGGGGTGACACCTGCAGCAGGGGCGCACAGGCTGCGTGAAGCGAACGGAGCCTTGCTCAGTGGAGTGGGTGGTGCCCGTGTGTAGTGGGTGGTGCCCGTGTGTAGTGGGTGGTGCCTGTGTGAAGTGGATGGTGCCTGTGTGAAGTGGGTGGTGCCTGTGTGAAGTGGGTGGTGCCCGTGTGAAGTGGCGGTGCCCGTGTGAAGTGGGTGGTGCCTGTGTGGAGTGGGTGGTGCCTGTGTGAAGTGGGTGGTGCCTGTGTGAAGTGGATGGTGCCTGTGTGAAGTGGGTGGTGCCTGTGTGAAGTGGGTGGTGCCCGTGTGAAGTGGCGGTGCCCGTGTGAAGTGGGTGGTGCCCGTGTGAAGTGGGTGGTGCCCGTGTGAAGTGGGTGGTGCCCGTGTGAAGTGGGTGGTGCCCGTGTGGAGTGGGTGGTGCCCGTGAGAAGTGGGTGGTGCCCGTGTGAAGTGAGTGGTGCCTGTGTGTAGTGGGTGGTGCCTGTGTGAAGTGGATGGTGTCTGTGTGAAGTGGGTGGTGCCTGTGTGTAGTGGGTGGTGCCTGTGTGAAGTGGCTGGTGCCCGTGTGAAGTGGGTGGTGCCCGTGTGTAGTGGGTGGTGCCCGTGTGAAGTGGCTGGTGCCCGTGTGAAGTGGGTGGTGCCCGTGTGAAGTGGGTGGTGTCTGTGTGAAGTGGGTGGTGCCCGTGTGAAGTGGGTGGTGCCCGTGTGGAGTGGGTGGTGTCTGTGTGAGGCCATACCGCCCTGCTATGAGCAGGCGCGCTCCGATCTGGAGCAACAGCTGGACGTTGAGGCTGCTGTTGGAGGAGTCGTCCTCTCCCAGGAACACGGGGAGACTCTCGCTGTCTGTGACACAGACAAAGATCCCCCGTGTAGCCTCCACAGACTGTTAGGGCAAGTGCAGTCAGCGAGCGCCCACACAACGCGAGAATCGGGGCGGTATTGCCAGCGCCACGCCCGGCCGCCTTTGTCTCCCCAGTCGTGATGTGTACACACCACACCTTGTACTCATTAATGGCTGAGTCGGCCTAGAGGAGGGTCCAGGGACCGGTTCAAATATTCGTCACTGACGTGCGTGATTATTCTCTGCGCAGTGCGCTGACCACTGCGCCACCGCTCCCCTACCGACGCTCCTGCGTCTGCTACAAAATGCAAAGATCCCCCGTATAGCCTGCAACAGACTGTTGAGGCAAGTGCTGTTAGCAAGCAGCGCCTATGAAGGCCGGCATGGCACACGAGGGGGTGGGTGGCCAACACCACGCCCGGCCGCTTTTGTCTCCTCATCGGCGATGTTCACACATCGCACCGTGTACCAATTTGAGGCCGAGTCCACCTAGGCGAGGCCCATAACCGATTCAGAGAATCGTCACCGGTGTTGGTGGTGGTGAGCGGGAATCGAACTCGAGTGGCCGGGTTCTTAGCCCAGCGCGCCGACCACTGCGCCACCGCTCCCCCTGCGACACTTCTGTGTCTGCGACACACACCACACGCGCGTGCGTGCGTGCGCGCGTACCCCGGGGGTCAGCCGGGGTCAGGCTATGTTGGGACACCGCCCGCGTGCCAATTTGGGAAATGCTGAGGCGAGCGTTTGCGGACCGGCACGGAGACACGCGCGTGCTTTCAGATCCCAGCGTCGCCCCTGGAAATGTGCACAATCCCATTCATGAAAAAGTCGGTCGAAACATCCCAATACAGGAACACAGAGCGCGGGCAATTGTTAGTAGCGCGCCCCGGTTCTGGCTGCTGCCGTCCCGCCACTCATGTGTGGTTTCACTCTGTGGCTCTGTGCGAAAACTGAGTGAATGAGGCTCCTCGGGGTGAATGAGGCGCGGGGTGAGTGAAGCGCGGGGCGAGTGAGGCTCTGGGCGAGTGAGACGCGGGGTGAGTGAGGCTCTGAGTGAGGCTCTGGGTGAGTGAGGCTCTGAGTGAGTGAGGCTCTGGGTGAGTGAGGCTCTGGGTGAGTGAGGCGTGGGGTGAGTGAGGCGCGGGGTGAGTGAGGCGCGGGGTGAGTGAGGCTCTGAGTGAGTGAGGCTCTGGGTGAGTGAGGCGCGAGGTGAGTGAGGCTGTGAGTGAGGCTCTGGGTGAGTGAGGCTCTGCGTGAGTGAGGCTCTGGGTGAGTGAGGCTCTGGGTGAGTGAGGCGTGGGGTGAGTGAGGCGCGGGGTGAGTGAGGCTCTGGGTGAGTGAGGCTCTGAGTGAGTGAGGCTCTGGGTGAGTGAGGCTCTGGGTGAGTGAGGCTCTGAGTGAGTGAGGCTCTGGGCGAGTGAGGCTCTGGGAGAGTGAGGCGTGGGGTGAGTGAGGCGCGGGGTGAGTGAGGCTTTGAGTGAGTGAGGCGTGGGGCGAGTGAGGCGCGGGGTGAGTGAGGCTCTGAGTGAGTGAGGCGTGGGGTGAATGAGGCTCTGAGTGAGGCTTTGGGTGAGTGAGGCTCTGGGTGAGTGAGGCTCTGGTGAGTGAGGCTCTGGGCGAGTGAGGCGCGGGGTGAGTGAGACTCTGGGCGAGTGAGGCTCTGGGCGAGTGAGGCTCTGGGTGAGTGAGGCGCGGGGTGAGTGAGGCGCGGGGTGAGTGAGGTTCTGGGTGAGTGAGGCTCTGGGCGAGTGAGGCGTGGGGTGAGTGAGGCTCTGGGTGAGTGAGGCTCTGGGTGAGTGAGGCGCGGGGTGAGTGAGGCTCTGAGTGAGTGAGGCTCTGGGTGAGTGAGGCGCGGGGTGAGTGAGGCTCTGAGTGAGTGAGGCTCTGGGTGAGTGAGGCTCTGAGTGAGTGAGGCTCTGGGTGAGTGAGGCTCGGGGTGAGTGAGACGTGGGGTGAGTGAGGCTCGTGAGGCTCTGGGTGAGTGAGGCTCGGGGTGAGTGAGGCTCTGAGTGAGGCTCGGGGTGAGTGAGGCTCTGGGTGAGTGAGGCTCTGGGCGAGTGAGGCGCGGGGCGAGTGAGGCTCTGAGTGAGGCTTTGGGTGAGTGAGGTTGTGGGTGAGTGAGGCTCTGGGTGAGTGAGGCTCTGGGCGAGTGAGGCTCTGAACGAGTGAGGCGTGGGGTGAGTGAGGCTCTGGGTGAGTGAGACTCTGGGCGAGTGAGGCGCGGGGCGAGTGAGGCTCTGGGTGAGTGAGGCGCGGGGTGAGTGAGGCTCTGAGTGAGGCTTTGGGTGAGTGAGGGTCTGGGTGAGTGTGGCTCTGAGTGAGTGAGGCTCGGGGTGAGTGAGGCTCTGGGCGAGTGAGGCGTGCGGCGAGTGAGGCTCTGGGCGAGTGAGGCTCTGGACGAGTGAGGCGCGGGGTGAGTGAGGCGCGGGGTGAGTGAGGCGCGGGGTGAGTGAGGCTCTGAGTGAGGCTTTGGGTGAGTGAGGCTCTGGACGAGTGAGACTCTGGACGAGTGAGGCGTGGGGTGAGTGAGGCGCGGGGTGAGTGAGGCTCTGAGTGAGTGAGGCTCTGGACGAGTGAGGCTCGGGGCGAATGAGGCTCTGGACGAGTGAGGCGCGGGGTGAGTGAGGCTCTTGGCGAGTGAGGCGTGGGATGAGTGAGGCTCTGGGTGAGTGAGGCTCTGGGCGAGTGAGGCTCTGGACGAGTGAGGCTCTGAGCGAGTGAGGCTCTTGGCGAGTGAGGCGTGGGGTGAGTGAGGCTCTGGGTGAGTGAGGCTCTGGACGAGTGAGGCTCTGGACAAGTGAGGCGTGGGGTGAGTGAGGCTCTGGGTGAGTGAGGCTCTGGGTGAGTGAGGCGCGGGGCGAGTGAGGCTCTGGGCGAGTGAGGCTCTGAGTGAGTGAGGCTCTGGGTGAGTGAGGCTCTGAGTGAGTGAGGCTCTGGGTGAGTGAAGCTCTGAGTGAGTGAGGCTCGGTGTGAGTGAGACGCGGGGTGAGTGAGGCTCGTGAGGCTCTGAGTGAGTGAGGCTCGGGGTGAGTGAGACGCGGGGTGAGTGAGGCTCTGGGTGAGTGAGGCGCGGGGTGAGTGAGGCTCTGAGTGAGGCTTTGGGTGAGTGAGGCTCTGGGTGAGTGAGGCTCTGGGTGAGTGAGGCGCGGGGCGAGTGAGGCTCTGAGTGAGTGAGGCTCTGGGTGAGTGAGGCTCTGAGTGAGTGAGGCTCTGAGTGAGTGAGGCTCTGGGTGCGTGAGGCTCTGAGTGAGTGAGGCTCTGGACGAGTGAGGCGCGGGGTGAGTGAGGCTCTGAGTGAGTGAGGCTCTGGGTGAGTGAGGCGCGGGGTGAGTGAGGCTCTGAGTGAGTGAGGCTCTGGGTGAGTGAGACGCGGGGTGAGTGAGGCTCTGAGTGAGGCTTTGGGTGAGTGAGGCTCTGGGTGAGTGAGGCTCGTGAGGCTCTGGGTGAGTGAGGCGCGGGGTGAGTGAGGCTCTGAGTGAGGCTTTGGGTGAGTGAGGCTCTGGGTGAGTGAGGCTCTGAGTGAGTGAGGCGCGGGGCGAGTGAGGCTCTGGGTGAGTGAGTCTCTGGACGAGTGAGGCGTGGGGTGAGTGAGGCTCTGAGTGAGTGAGGCTCTGAGTGAGTGAGGCTCTGGGTGAGTGAGGCTCTGAGTGAGTGAGGCTCGGGGTGAGTGAGGCTCTGAGTGAGTGAGGCTCTGGGTGAGTAAGGCGCGGGGTGAGTGAGGCTCTGAGTGAGGCTTTGGGTGAGTGAGGCTCTGGGTGAGTGAGGCTCTGTGTGAGTGAGGCGCGGGGCGAGTGAGGCTCTGGGTGAGTGAGGCTCTGGACGAGCGAGGCGTGGGGTGAGTGAGGCTCTGAGTGAGGCTCTGACTGAGTGAGGCTCTGGGTGAGTGAGGCTCTGAGTGAGTGAGGCTCTGGGTGAGTGAGGCTCTGAGTGAGTGAGACGCGGGGTGAGTGAGGCTCGTGAGGCTCTGAGTGAGTGAGGCTCGGGGTGAGTGAGACGCGGGGTGAGTGAGTGAGTGAGGCGCGGGGCAAGATGGGGTGAGCATGCCTCACCTCTGCCGACAGTGATGGTGATGGGGTCGACGTCGGCAGGGAATGCGTGGAGTGCGCGGGAGAAGGCGAGCAGCAGGAGCAGGCAGAGAGAAGGGGCCGCCATGCTGACCAATATCACCGCCCCACACCATCAACATCGTTAACATCAACACAGCATTACCATAACACACACAAACCTTATTACCATACAAACGTCATTGCAACAGCATCACAACATCCGCGAATATCACCATATACAACATCAACACAACATTAACACAACATCACGACCACACAAACAGCATCACATCACCGTAATATCCCCTGACATCACCACACATCAGTACAATTTCACCATCACAACATCGCCACATCAACATCCCCCAACATCAACACACACACAGGCACATCGACCACTGAGACATCAGGATCACCTCAACATCAACACAGAAACATCACCACGCGCACATCAACCACTGGGACATCAACATAACCTCAACATCAACACAGAAACATCACCCCAACATCGACCACTGGGACATCAACGTCACCTCAACATCAACACAGAAACATCACCGCAACATCGACCACTGAGACATCACCCCAACATCACCCAACATCACCACGCGCACATCAACCACTGGGACATCAACATCACCTCAACATCAACACAGAAACATCACCCAACATCAACACACACACAGGCACATAGACCACTGAGACATCAGCATTCTAGCCTCGCCTTGGGTGCCTCCCGCTGTTTGCTCTGTGAAAATTACTTATCGACTGTGGGGTGAGCGGTGAGGGAAGGGGTGAGGGGTGAGGGAAGGGGTGAGGGAAAAGTGAATGTTGATAGGGTGAGGGTGAGTGAAAGGGTGAGGAAAGGGTGAATATTGAAAGGGTGAGGGAAGGGGGTGGAATTTGAGAGGGTGAGGGAGTGAGGGTGAGGGAAGGAGTGAATGTTAAGAGGGTGAGGAGGTGAGGGGGGTGATGGAAGGGGTGAATGCTGAGAGGGTGAGGAAGGGGTGAGAGACGGGTGAGGGTTTAGGGGGTGAATGCTGAGGGGCTGAGGAAGGGGTGAGGGATGGGTGAGGGTTTAGGGGGTGAATGCTGAGGGGGTGAGGAAGGGGTGAGAGACGGGTGAGAGTTTAGGGGGTGAATGCTGAGAGGGTGAGGAAGGGGTGAGAGACGGGTGAGGGTTTAGGGGGTGAATGCTGAGAGGGTGAGGAAGGGGTGAGAGACGGGTGAGGGTTTAGGGGGTGAATGCTGAGGGGGTGAGGAAGGGGTGAGAGACGGGTGGGGGTTTAGGGGGTGAATGCTGAGGGAGTGAAAAAGGGGTGAGGGACGGGTGAGGGTTTAGGGGATGAATGCTGAGAGGGTGGGGAAGGGGTGAGAGACGGTTGAGGGTTTAGGGGGTGAATGCTGAGAGGGTGAGGAAGGGGTGAGAGACGGGTGAGGGTTTAGGGGGTGAATTCTGAGAGGGTGAGGAAGGGGTGAGAGACGGGTGGGGGTTTAGGGGGTGAATGCTGAGAGGGTGAGGAAGGGGTGAGAGACGGGTGAGGGTTTAGGGGTTGAATGCTGAGAGGGTGAGGAAGGGGTGAGATACGGGTGAGGGTTTAGGGGGTGAATGCTGAGAGGGTGAGGAAGGGGTGAGAGACGGGTCATGGTTTAGGGGGTGAATGCTGAGAGGGTGAGGAAGGGGTGAGAGACGGGTGAGGGTTTAGGGGGGTGAATGTTGAGAGGGTGAGGAAGGGGTGAGAGACGGGTGAGGGTTTAGGGGGTGAATGCTGAGAGGGTGAGGAAGGGGTGAGAGACGGGTGAGGGTTTAGGGGGTGAATGCTGAGGGGGTGAGGAAGGGGTGAGAGACGGGTGAGGGTTTAGGGGGTGAATGCTGAGGGGGTGAGGAAGGGGTGAGAGACGGGTGAGGGTTTAGGGGGTGAATGCTGAGAGGGTGAGGAAGGGGTGAGAGACGGGTGAGGGTTTAGGGGGTGAATGCTGAGGGGGTGAGGAAGGGGTGAGAGACGGGTGGGGGTTTAGGGGGTGAATGCTGAGGGAGTGAAAAAGGGGTGAGGGACGGGTGAGGGTTTAGGGGATGAATGCTGAGAGGGTGGGGAAGGGGTGAGAGACGGTTGAGGGTTTAGGGGGTGAATGCTGAGAGGGTGAGGAAGGGGTGAGAGACGGGTGAGGGTTTAGGGGGTGAATACTGAGAGGGTGAGGAAGGGGTGAGAGACGGGTGGGGGTTTAGGGGGTGAATGCTGAGAGGGTGAGGAAGGGGTGAGAGACGGGTGAGGGTTTAGGGGTTGAATGCTGAGAGGGTGAGGAAGGGGTGAGAGACGGGTGAGGGTTTAGGGGGTGAATGCTGAGAGGGTGAGGAAGGGGTGAGAGACGGGTCATGGTTTAGGGGGTGAATGCTGAGAGGGTGAGGAAGGGGTGAGAGACGGGTGAGGGTTTAGGGGGTGAATGCTGAGAGGGTGAGGAAGGGGTGAGAGACGGGTGAGGGTTTAGGGGTTGAATGCTGAGAGGGTGAGGAAGGGGTGAGAGACGGGTGAGGGTTTAGGGGATGAATGTTGAGAGGGTGAGGAAGGGGTGAGAGACGGGTGAGGGTTTAGGGGTTGAATGCTGAGAGGGTGAGGAAGGGGTGAGAGACGGGTGAGGGTTTAGGGGTTGAATGCTGAGAGGGTGAGGAAGGGGTGAGAGACGGGTGAGGTTTAGGGGATGAATGTTGAGAGGGCGAGGAAGGGGTGAGAGGCGGGTGAGGGTTTAGGGGTTGAATGCTGAGAGGGTGAGGAAGGGGTGAGAGACGGGTGGGGGTTTAGGGGGTGAATGCTGAGAGGGTGAGGAAGGGGTGAGAGACGGGTGGGAGTTTAGGGGGTGAATGCTGAGAGGGTGAGGAAGGGGTGAGAGACGGGTGAGGGTTTAGGGGTTGAATGCTGAGAGGGTGAGGAAGGGGTGAGAGACGGGTGAGGGTTTAGGGGGTGCATGCTGAGAGGGTGAGGAAGGAGTGAGAGACGGGTGAGGGTTTAGGGGGTGCATGCTGAGGGGGTGAGGAAGGGGTGAGAGACGGGTGAGGGTTTAGGGGATGAATGTTGAGAGGGCGAGGAAGGGGTGAGAGACGGGTGAGGGTTTAGGGGTTGAATGCTGAGAGGGCGAGGAAGGGGTGAGAGACGGGTGAGGGTTTAGGGGATGAATGTTGAGAGGGTGAGGAAGGGGTGAGAGACGGGTGAGGGTTTAGGGGTTGAATGCTGAGAGGGTGAGGAAGGGGTGAGAGACGGGTGAGGGTTTAGGGGATGAATGTTGATAGGGTGAGGAAGGGGTGAGAGACGGGTGAGGGTTTAGGGGATGAATGTTGATAGGGTGAGGAAGGGGTGAGTGTCTATACAATGCCGACACTTGAGGAGCGCCAGAGATGACGAGACGAGAGACAAGGGGAGAGAGACACAAAGAGACACGGGACAGGGAGACAGAGACACGGGACATAGACACAGGGAGACAGAGACACGGGACTTAGACACAGGGAGACAGAGACACGGAGAAACAGAGACACGGAGAAACAGACACGAGACAGAGAGACAGGGGGAGACAGACATTGGAGAGAGAGAGACACGGAACAGGGAGACAGAGACACGGAGAGACAGTGACGCGGAGAGACAGACACGAGACAGAGAGACAGGGGGACAGGGGGAGACAGGGGGAGACAGGGACACGCGGAGACAGAGACACGGAGAGCTAAAGACACAGGGAGGCAGATACAGGGTCCCGGTTCCCACCGATTCACCTGGGCTTGCGGAGTCGCGGACACGGAGAGTCGGGAGATGAGGGGAGAGAGGGGAGGAGGAGATGGTGAGGAGGATATTGATGACGAGGGATGAGGAGGTGGAGATGAGATCGCGAGGAGTGGAGCCGCATTCGAGTGACGGCAGCGCCTGCACGGTGCAGCTCCCCCCACTGCCCCCCCCAATCCTGACTCCCCTCCCCCTCCACCCCCCAATCCCGACTCTCCCCCTCCCCTCTGACCCCCCACCACGGGATGAGCGGCTCCGCCCCGAGATGAGCTCCACGCGTCCGCGGAGGGGATTTGGGAGAGGAGGGGGTGAAAGGAGGAGCGGGGGGGGTGATGACGGAGGAGTGAGGGACAGGGGGGGGGAGGGGGTGGAGGGAGGCAGGGTGGGAGGGAGGGAGGGGGAGGGAGGGAGGGAGAGGGAGGGGGAGGGAGGGAGGCGGGGTGGGAGGGAGGGGGAGGGGGAGGGAGGGGGAGGGAGGGGGGAGGGAGGGGGGGAGGGGGAGGGAGGGGGAGGGAGGCAGGGTGGGAGGGAGGGAGGGAGAGGGAGGGGGAGGGAGGGAGGCGGGGTGGGAGGGAGGGGAGGGAGGGGGAGGGAGGGGGAGGGAGGGAGGGGGAGGGAGGGGGGAGGGGGAGGGAGGGGGAGGGAGGGGGAGGGAGGGAGGGAGCCATCTGCAGCATCAGAGTGAGGGAGCAGGTGCAGAGATGAGACGGGGTTGTACGGGTGTGTGTGGGGGGAGGTGCTCGCTAACACCACTTGCCCCAACAGTCTGTTCAGGCTATACGGTGAAGCTTTGTCTTTTTTTGTGTGAGGGGAGCGGTGGTGTAGTGGTCAGCGCTACGTTGCGCTACAAAACCGATTCGATTCCCGCTCACGGCCACCAACACCGGTGATGATTATATTATCTGAACCGGTTCTAGGCCTCCCCAAGGTTGACTCAGCCTCGAATGAGTACGTGTTGCAATGTGTATGCGTAGCCACTAGGGATACAAAGGCGGCCGGGCGTGGTGCTAGCCACCCACCCTATCATGTGCCGTGCCTTTATAGGTGCTCGCAAACAGAACTTGCCCCCACAGTCTGTGAAGGTTAAATTTCGATTTAAAGCTTTCGTGACTGCAAGGATTCATCTTCTTTGGTTCTTTCGGTAAAGTCACGTAGAATGAGAATAAAATAATAAATTGATAAAATAAAATAACACAATAATATTCTCATTCTACGTCACTTTACCGAAAGAACCAAAGAAGTCTGTGAAGGCTTCACGGGGGAACTTTGTCTTTGTGTGTCTGGGGTGTGTGTCTGGGGTGTGTGTATGGCGGGGTGGTGAGTGTTGGGATGTGCCTGTGTGTGTGTATTGTGCACACACATCACCACCACCACAGCTACCACGAACACACACGTCAGTCACACCACTCACCACCGTCATACCATGGCCACAACCGCAAGCACCCACACACACGACAATCACTCACGCAACAGCCACCAGTCGCCACTAAATGATGGTGACGTCTCCAATGGGCTTGTACCAGGCTAGGTACACTTTGAAGCCACGTGAAGTGTGGAAGGCTCGCTGCTGGCAGGAGGTCACGGGACATACCCAGGCACCATGCCTTGACTGACTGGGATGAGAAGGTAATTGCCTGCAATCTACCAACCCTCGAGGACCTGCACACGACAAGGTCCATGAGGCGAGCGAGGAAGATTATGGCCGATTTCTCCCACCCTGGACACTCTCTGTTTCAGCTACTCCCCTCTCGGCAGAAGGCTTCGGTCCATCAGGACCAAAACCTCACGCCATAAAAACAGTTTCTTCCCATCTGCTGCTGGCCTGTTAAACAAGGCCAAGGGCTAACACTGTTTTTAACATTTGATCTACATAACGACACCTTGCCGATATTAACTATGTTACCCTATTTGTATTTTTTATTTTTAAATTATATCTTAAAGCTATTTTATATTCGTTATTTATTTAATTTTATATACTTCAGCCCCTTGGTGTTAGACTTTTAACCCTTATTGTAGTAAGACTTGTTTAAAACTTATTTAAGATTTTAGATTCCTATATGTTGAATGTATGCACCATCCTGCCAAAGTAAATTCCGTGTCGGTGTGAACTTACATGGCGAATAAAACCCTTTCTGATTCTGATTCTGA